AAAAAAAAAAAAAAAAAACCAGGCGGCTCTGTCCCCTTTTGCCAAAGAATTCAACATTCTCAATAGTATTTTTCCCCTCTCACGTTCTTAGGCTAGAGGGATCCCTCAACCCTAAGGGAACCTCATGTCCCTGAATAGAGACTGAGAATGTCTTCTCCTGTTTAACAAAGAAAGAAACAAAGACCCAGAAACAGGACTTGCCTGAAGTCACAAGCTGGTCGTAGAAGAGTCAAGAGGTTTATGATTTCCAGTCTTAGGTCCAATACGGATCTGTGCCCAGGCTCAGAATATAGAAGATTGCCATGAGTCCTGGGTTCTTATTCCCTCTGGAGTGACTGTTTGACAAATGTGGATGGATACATTTGTGAAGGATTGGGACCATGCCTTTTCCCTCTATAGGGTGATGACAGGCAGACCTTTAGGGAAAGGAGGCAACCTCTATGGTCATAATGCCCACAGGTCACAGAGGTGGCTAGGTCCAGGGGGAAGGGCACTCACCCAAGAGGTTCCCCCTTTAGATTCCCTCCCTTATTGGTCTTGGGGCCCTGTACCTGGCCCTATGGCCTGCAAGTGCACATTAGGACGAGGCTGGGCCAAACAGAGTCATCAAGTGTGGCACCAGCCCCATGGAGAAGGACTGGATGCCTCCTAAGTCCCGACCGGAAGACCAGAAGGTCGGCCTTATCAGCTGGGCTGGCACCTATCTAACAGCTGAGAACTATGGAAATAAAATCACTGCTGTAGCTAAAGGCTTAGGCAGGAGACAGGTAACTAGCTATCACTGGGGTGAGTGGGATATAACAACGCTGATGCTCAAATGGCCACACACACCCTGTCTGGGGGATATTGGCACCTTTTCTCCTGCCCTTTTGCTTGCCTCTATCACTGACATTCCTGAGTTCTTTCTGTCCTGTGCCCATGGGGTCTCCATCTCCAACCCAGTCTTACCTTATCAGAATCTCACACACCTTTAACAAAGTCCACGACCAACTTTCAGTCTTTCTGCCTGTCTCTGCTCTGGCTGCTGTCTTACCTCTGCCCCCTATAGTGTCAGCACAGAGGTACTGTGACATCACAAAGGAGAGACTTCCAGAGCCTCAGGCTAGAATGAAGGACTATGGGGTCTCAGGGGAAATCATATATATGTAGGGGAAAGGGGGAAGGTATATGTAACACTAAGTCCTGATTTCTCATCTTGGAAAGGGGATAGGAGAAATGGAGGGATCCAGAAGAACTGTATGTGAAGAATCACAGGAACTCACGAGTTCCATAGGATGAATGTCATGGAACAGAGGCCAGAATTGGGTTCTTTGTTTCCTAGTGAAAAGAATTTCCACATTTCTACCTCAGATCCTCCCATTGTTCCCTCTCCACTGAGAACATTTAAATACCAATTTTTACATCCAAAGCAAACAACATAAGTGCAAGTCTCCCAGGACAAGTATTGCAGAGCTATGCTGGTCCTCAAATGCTGCTTGGGGAGGATGGGGAGCCAGCAGCTGGCCAACAAGATGCTCCCTGGGAGTATTACTGCTGCCTAGCAGGCCACATCTGGACATTTCTGATATTAACTAATTATTCTTGCTAACCAGGTGCCGAGCTCAAAGCACTGGAAGTGCTGCCAGAGCCCACTAAGTTTTAGCACCCTGTTGCAAAGCCACTTGATCTAGTGCTGCCTCTGACCCCAACTCTGTCTCTCTCTCTCTCTCTCACACACACACACACACACACAATTTCTAAGTCTCCCTGCTTATGCCTTACGGTCTAGGAAATATGAAATCTAAAGGCTTACACGTGGCCAGAATCACATGACTAGTGTCTGGCGCAGGATTTGAACTCAGGTCTTCTTGACTACAAACCCCACACTACATCAAAGTGATGACAGCTTACAGCAACAAACTTTTATTCCTTGACCTGAAGCTCTTATTCATCTCTGATACATCAGGTAGAGATAGAATTCCGTGAGATGGCTATACTAAGAACAGATGGTTCTGGGAGTGGAGATACAGGCTGTGGGGGATCAGCTGATGCACCTGTTTCCTAACTATAGTATATGTAGTATCAGAGAGCAAAAAGTAAGCCTTAAGTTTGAATCCCATTGAAACTTTGACCTCAATCTTTGAAGAAGATTGAGAAGAGCAGAGACTGGAAAGTTCGTGTTAGGCCAACTAGAGAGAAGCACCATGATACAATTGATAGAGTATGGGGCTTGTAGTCAAGAAGGCCTGAGTTCAAATCCTGCCTCACCTACTTATTAGCTGTGTGACTAGCGAAGTCATTCTATCTGCTTCAGTTTCCTTATCTATAAAATGAGGGGTTAGTCTCAACGACCTCTAAGGTCCTTTCCATTTCTAAATCTATGATCCTATGAATATGACACTTTCAACTTTTTTTTTTTAAGAAACCACATGAGAAACCGTGGTTTGTATATTGGTGATACTGACTTCACATCCCCCAGTGGTAAGCATGCAGGTCATGTTATTGCTCCTGCTGGTAGTTGTGGTGGGAGGGCATCAGGGAATATGGGGTTGGTTGCAATGAGGAAACTAGCACTCCTAGGAGTTGATAGCAGTGGTTAGAAGGTCATGGTGAGCCACCTGCACAGTCATAACAATGGCCAAAATGGTGTTAGTGACTGACATCGAGGGTGCTGTGAATGAGCGGCATAGGGCCAGTAATCTAGTGAGCACTAATATCTCCCTCTTCCCTCACTGGGACCTCTCTGCAGACCTGGGAATTAAAAGTATGCAATGAACAGGATGAGGATTGTCAGGCCGTGGTGCGCCTACAGAGCATCTACGGCCACATCTTGCTGCCAGAGGGAGATGGCTCAGTCTATTGTGGGTGTCCCCGGAATGCACAGCACGGCTACTTCTTGCTTCGTTTCCACCGCCATGGCAAGTGGACCCTGCAGTGCATGATCACTGGCCACTATCTGGAGTCTGATGGTGAGGATGTGTTCTGCAACTCGAGGGTGCTCTCTGCCTACCACATGTGGGCCCCACGGCCAGCCTTGCATGTCCACGTGATGCTCTACAGCCCAATTACCTGCTGCTATGTCCGGGCCAGCCCCGAGCAGGGTTGCGTCTGGGTGGACACACCTGTTCCTTACTTAGAGGAGTGTGGCTTCCTGCTGCACTTCCATGAAGGGCTCTACCACCTCGAGTCTTCTTCCCACCACTTCCTGTCCCAAAATGACAGGCTGGTCAACAGGCCCTCACCACAAACAGCCTTTCACCTTCAGCTCCGGCCCGGTGGGCAGATAGCCTTGGGCGATGGGGAGGGATGCCTCCTGTACCCACAGGGCTCCCATGCCCTCCTGGCTCTGGGCTCCAGCCCCATGGGGGGAGAGGAGTGGTTTGTACTACAGCACTGCACAGCCTGGATCGCTATCAAAGCTAAGAATCGGAAATTCATCACCATCGTTTCGGGCAAGTGCTGGGGCCAGTGGGAGGGGTGGAGGAAAAATCCATGAGGGAGAAGAACTGGGTGAGGGAAATAGGGAGAACAGGGAAGAGGTGAATGAAAAGTGCTATACCCTACAAAGTGAAGAATCCCAAAATTAAGAATAGAAATATGGCCTGGAAAGCAGGCAGAGAGAGGTTGAAAAATAAAGAAACTAGTCTGGATGGAAGGGGCTAAAATGCCCTACAGTGTCTGTTATACGATACAGAAAAATAACAAGAGGAGGGAAAATAGAGTTTAGCTCTTAGCTGGTGGGGGATAGTTGGGTCTGGGTCTTGCTGGGGAGGAAGAGGCTGTAGGAGGAGGAGCAGGGGCTGATACTGGCCCGGGGGCTGCCTGTGATCAAAATCCCTCTTTCTGCAGATTTGGAAGTCTGTGCTATATCTGAGCGGATGACCCCTATGTCCTTCTTCCAGTATAAGAGTAATCCAAATACTAATGCTGTTCAGCTCCGTTCAGTTACCGGTCGATATTTAGCACAGGTAAGAATATGGGCCTAAAAGTTGACCCAGGACAATTTGGAGGAATTTTAGCCCAGGTATTCCCTTTTTCTCACTCAATATGCACACCCTAAGACCCCACAGTCGCATCTCACAGTGGAAACAAAAGTCATCTCTTCCAGGGTAGATGTCCAGATGTTTTAAGCTGCCCCAAAGAAGTGAGATGCTTATGTCCCTAATTCATTCTGATTTGTCCCCTTGATCCTGAGTGCAGGCTTCTTCTTTCTTTTGACTGTTCCTAGGGCTAAACCCTAGAAGAGTAGTCTAGAGTGTGGGAGGGTTGGGCTATGGAATCCTGAGTTAGACCTCACTGTAAGTCCCCAGAGCTATGGAACCTTAGCAGAAATATCATACAGAAACTAGCATGATTTTCAAGGACATTTTTTCTCTTCAAAAATTGTCATAACCATAATAATATTACAATAACAATAGCCAACTAGGCATTTAGTGTACATTACCTCATTTGGACCATGCAACAGCCCTGTGAAGTAGATACTGCAAATAATATCATCCTCATTTTATAGATGAGGAAACTGAGACTCAGAGAGGTTCACAGGTAGTTAGATAGCACAGTGGGTGGAGCACCAGCCTTGAAGTCAGGAATATCTGAGTTCAAATTTGGCCTCAGATACTTACTAACTGTATGACCTTGGACAAGTCACTTAACCTCTGTTTGCCTCAGTTTCCTCATCTGCAAAATGGGGATAATAATAGCACTTACCTCCCAGGGTTGTTATGAGGATCAAATGAGATAATAATTGTAAAGTGTTTACCACAGTGCCTGTCACAAGGCAAGCCCTATACAAATGGTTATTATGATTATGATTATTATTATTCATAGGTTCCACAGGATCATAGATTTAGAGGTGGAAGAGACCTTAGAGGCCACCTAGCTCCCTCATTTTACAGATGAGGCCCAGAATCACATAGCTTGTAATTGTTCAAGGCATGATTTGAACCCATGAATATCCTCACTCCTGGTCCAATGTTCCTTTCCATTCCACAACACTGCCTCTCTTTCCACCTTCTGTCCCACTCTCTTGCCCTTTGTGAACCATAGTTCATCCTGTGTTGATAATAGGTCTTTTTCCAAGAAGAATTTGAAAGAAAAAGAGAAGGAAGCTCTAGAGACTAAGGATTATTAGCCTAGGGATAGATATCAGATGGTCCAGTAACTTGGGTAGGAAAAAATATTTTAGTAATTGTATTTCAGTATAAAGGGTTTCCTTTGCTGCGTATTTTATTTTATACATTTAAACACATTATTCCGAGGAGGAGGTCTGTAGGCTTAGCCAGATAGCCAAAACGAATCCATGACACAAAAAAGGTTAAGTACTCCTGGACTAAGTAAATGTTAATAAGCTGAGGGTGGAAGCCAGAGGCAGAGTTTGAGATGGGACCTGAACTCTGCCCAAAGCTGAGACTTTCCCCTTCTCTGCAGAGGTCACATAGGGCAGTAGTGGGAGATGGGCAAAAACAAGAGCCCAGAGCCATTTTCTGTGTGAACTGGAACTGTGGCAAGATTGTTCTGCAGGCTGCTAATGGACGCTATGTGGGTATCACATCCAACGGGTTCTTAATAGCCAGTTCCTTGCATCCAGGTAAGCCAGGGGAAGGGGCCTTTCCTGTTAGGATATCTGGGCCAGGAATCCTTGCATAATGCCCTTCTATACCTAGTCTGCCCCTGGTGCATCCCGTCTGAAAGAGATCCCAGAGCAGTTATCATTTCCAGTGATCTCAACTCCCATTTCCCCCAGGCCCCTGTGAAGAATTTAGGATCCGCTTAATCAATCGACCCTTCTTGGCATTGCGAGGTCGCTATGGCTATGTGGGTACATCATCAGAACATGACCAAATGCAGTGCAACATGGACCAGCCAGACTGCATCCAGCTACTGCCCTGCCGCCAAAGCATTTACCATTTCCAGGGTGAGTGCTACTCTTAGCCTAATCCCTCCTCCTGAATATGCCAAAAGATACCCGAGGCTCATCACTCAGTGTCCATTGGCTCCTTCCCCAACTCAACCCTTTCCAGGACTTGGGAGAGTGACCTTGGGGGAGTCTGAGTTGGATGGTCTATGAGTCCCTTCCAACTCTAATATTTATATAATTGGAGCAAGAGAATCTGGTCCAACTTATCCCTTTGACAGGGGCCTGGAGAGGTAAAGTAGTTTGAATGAAGTCATTCAGCAAATCAGTGGCAGTGTAAGGAATCCGGATTTCCTGACTCCTAGTCTAGTGTCCATCCTGCTATGCCACTCCCTAAGGTTTTATGATTTTTTGAAAACAGGACATCTTTCTGAAACAATTCTTATACCTTAGCATTTACTGGGTGCCACAGTAGTATATGCTGAGCATGAAGAAGGAAGTTAGGTTTACCTTCCCTTTCCTGCTACATTTACACTTTACTGAAGAATCTCACTTTCATGAGTTAAAATGAGTGCCTTCACTCACACTTTTCCTCCGATACCCTCTTTCCTGCCACTTCAGTCTAGCCACAGTGCTAAGTTAAAGCAAACTGTAAGACATGCAGAAGGTGATGGGCAGGGAGGAGGAGTGGGGCTGCTAGGAGATTGTCATGGGCTGGGGTGGGAGGTGGCGGGGTAGATAGATAGATAGACAAAAGAAGGTTCCCAAGTGGATGGGGATTTTTTAAAAAGTCTAAGGAGGAAGGTACCTCCCCTATTGCTCTTTATAACAGATCCCAAATTGGAAAAAGGTGGCACAGAGACCTATGGCATCCCTCCTCATGCTTCTCTGAGGCAGCCAGGTAGTACAGTCAATAGAGCCCTGGACCCGGCTGGAGTCAGGAAGGCCCGACTTTGATTCCTGCCTCAGACTCTTGCTAACTGGGTGACCCTGGATGAGTCATTTGACCTCTCTGTCGCTCAGTTTCTTTATCTGTGAAATGAAGATAATAATAGTGCTACCTCCCATGGTTGTTGAGAGGATCAAATGAAATAATCTATATAGTGCTTCCTAAACTTTAAACTACTATATAAATGCTAGCTAGCTAATGTTATTATTAGCTGAGGTACAGCTGACAAAGGCTGGGAGATTTGGGGAGATGGAGGTAGTGTGGTTCTGTGTCCTCTCTACCCATACCACAGCTCAGGTGTCTGAGGACCTGAGGCACATACTTCACTTTCGCATCTTAATGACCTCAGTTCTCCTAACCCCACAGCACAGAGTGGCACCTTCTGGTCCCTGACAGCCTATGGCACCTTCCATCCCTGGGGAAAGTTTGCTCTCAACTTCTGCCTAGAACTACGAGGCAGCAACCTACTAGCTGTGTTGGCCCCCAATGGCTACTATATACGGGCTGACAGCAGTGGTGTATTGCTGGCTGACAGCGAGGCCATTACCAATGAATGTCTCTGGGAGTTTTAGGTATGAGAAAACCTTCACTTGACCCTACCATCCCTTTTATCTACTATCCTATATCTCTCCTCCCACTCACAAATTTCCTAGAAAAAGTTGTTTACACTCTGCCTCCACTCGTCAATCCCTTGCAGTTTGATCTCTGTCCCCACCACTCAACTGAAACGGTTTCTGTCCAGGTCACTAGCATTTTCTTTATTGCCAAATCTGGTCACCTTTTTTGGGTCCCCATTGTTCTTGACCTGTCTGTGGCATTTAACCTTTAGCCTTCTGGATACACTCTCCCTCCTAGGGTTTCGTGACATTGCTCTGTCTTGGTTCTTCTCAGCCTCCATTTTAGGATTTTAGGTCCCCTTCATGTGAGTCACCCAGGGCTCTGCCTTGGATTCTCTTCTGTTCCCTCTCCAAAATTTCTTTTCTTTCTTTCATCCGTGCCCATGGCTTCAACTATCACCTCCCTGCCTATGACTATCAAATCTGCATCTCACCAATTGCCTGCTGAGCATTGCTGCCTAGATATCCCATAGGCATCTCAAACTCAACATGTCCAGAAGCCTTTGTTCTTAACTGCCCCACTCCCTTCTAACTTCCTCTTTTCTGTCCAGGTCACCGTCATTCTAGTCAAATGCATTTACTCCCCACTCTTCACTTTGAATCATCTCTTCACCCCCATATCCTATCAATTGCCAAGTCTCCTTGATTCTATCTCCTTTATATCTCTTGCATCCATCACCTTCTCCCCATTTATACCATAATCACCCTAATTCAGGCCTTCACTATTGTTATTATTTTAGAGTTTAAGGAGATTTACTTGTCATAGAATGTAAAGGATACTCAGCAAGGATACAACAAGAATACAGTTGAATGTAGTTTCCCTGCTTCTCTGTTGCTATGCTTATACATTATCAAGCCTGAGGAAGAACAACTCCTGCCTGCTGGTGGGCTGGCTTTTATACTTATATCATAAGGAAGCTCTATTTCTTAGTTTCCCCCTCCTCCCCTGCCCCCAGCTAATTAAGTTTTAAGGTTGATTTCAATACCTTTAGAGGCAAGCCTTCGTTATTGAAATTGACTCTCAATTGGTCTTCTGTCTCCTTCATCCTTCACACAGTTGACAAATTGATATTGCTAACACAGATATCTGACCATGTCACTCCCCTGCTCTGGATGATAACATACAGACTCCTTTATTTGGCATTTAACACTATCCACAATCCGGCTCCAGGACTGTCTTTCCAGGTTAACTACAGATTGGGAGTCCATCAGTACGCTACATTCTAGCCAAACTGACCTAATTACTGTGGTCTGTGCGCAATATTCCCCTTCCTGCCCCCATGCCTCTGCACAGGCTATGCCCCACAGCTGAAATGCTCTTCCTCCTCAGCTCTATCTAGATCTACCTTCAAGCCTAACTTCAAGCACCACCTACTTTGAGGCCTTTTCTGATTCCCACCAGTTTTTAGTGCCTTCTCCCCTCAATCTCCTTTGTTTTCCTTTGTATATATGTTCTCTTTACTTTTTTTGTACAAGTAGGTTTCACCTAGTAAATGACAAGTTCCTGGATATTAAGGGAATATTTTTTTTTTGTATCCCCAGCACCTAGCACAATGCCTGACCTGTCTAGTAGGCACTTATTAAATGTTTGTTGATTGTATCAATGCTTGAGAGAGAAGAGGAGCCAGAAGATGAGTTGTGGAAGTATTTCTGGGTCATAGAATCCTAGATGCTAGATTTAGTGCTGAAAAGGACCTTCAAGGCCATCTAGACTCACCCTCTCATTTTACAGATGAAGAAACTGAGGCCCAGAAAGGTTAAGTGATTTGCTCAAGGTCACAATGACATACCAAGAATTTATTAGCTGATGGATACTTCTGAACATGTCACTTTACCATCCAGATTCCCAAACTCAATAGAGAGACTAAAGGAATGACCCTCCAAATATGTTTTCATGGGGTTGTCATGAGGAAATGAGAACTCCCACTGTCACACTAGAGTGTCTCTATGCTTATGGATAGAAATCCTCACCTAAATCTAAGCCTTTAAAAAGTCCAATAGTAGGTGATAAATAAGGGAAATGAGGTTAATTTTGAGAGAGAAGATATTTATGTATACATAGATCTCCCTCTTGTCACTTGTGTGGGTCTTTTTATGACTCCCAAATCTACACCAATAGCCTGACCTCTCTCACGGGTTCTATTCCACATCATCTTGTATGTTCTTCCACAACCTCAACCTCTGCGTTTCTGAAACTATAAACTCCTCATCTTCCTTCTGAAACTGGCTCCGCATTTCCCTATTTCTGTTCTCCCAGATATCCACCCTCAAAATCTGAATAATTCTTAAAAAATTTTTTCCTTTCCCTAACTTCTTAGTTACTAAATGCTATCAATTTATCAATTCTTCCTTTCCAGTGTCTTTTAAATTTATTCTTTCTAGTCCCACTACCTTATTTCAGGTTCTCCAAACCTCATATTTAGCTTATTGAAAGGCTTCCTAATAGGCCTTCTCCAACCTCCCTCAATTCCAGTCTTTACATATCACCACCAGATTAATCTCCCTAAAGCGGCTTAGATCGGAGGTGTCAAATTCAATGCTGGCTGGCCACATGAATTCTGAAGCGAAGACTGAACCAGATTAACGTGTAATTGGGAAATGTTTAGTGAAATAAATAAAAATATAATACAACATAGATAATGTTAATTTATGCAATATGAATGCCAGCAGAGATCTGTTTCTATCTGAGTTTGATACCACTGGTTGTATCGTGTTATTCTGCATCTCAGAAACCTTCAATGACCCCCTCATGCATAATTCTAAACCTTTTAGCCTGACATAATAAATACCCCACAATCTAACCCCAATCCACCTTCCTAATTTTGTACCCCTTTGAAGTATGTATGGAACAGTGGAGATTGTAATAGATGGAGTCAGGAAGACTTAGCTCTGATACTTACTATCTTTTTTCTTATACCTTTCTGACTGGTCCTTCTCAATCTTCTTTGCAGGATGATCATCTATATACTGCCTCCTGTGGGAAGATGTATTCCAGGGCTCTGTTCTAGGATTATACTCCCTCTCTCTTTACTCTATCTCACTTGGTGACCTCATTTGTTCCCATGGGTTCAACTGTGGTCTCTATGCAGAAGACTCCCAAATCTACATATCCAGCTACATATCCATCTCCAACTATTTGCTAGATATTCTGAGGCATCTCAAAGGAAACATGTCTAAAACAGAACTCCTTTCCTCCTAAACTTCTCATTCATCCTAACTTCCCTATCCTTCCCTTAACCAGCATCCTTTTAGTCACCTAGTTTCACTCAGGACATGGAAGTTGTCCTCAGATCTTTGTTGTCCCTCTCCTTATCCTGCTATTCCATCACTGCTAATCCTTGTGCCAAGTGTACCTCCATGTCATTCCCATTCTCTCACTCAACAATACAATCATTGCTCAGGCCCTCATCCTTTTTTACTTCTAGGTTATTATGGTGATGGGCTTCCTGAATCCAAGCTCTTCCCTCTCCAAATCATCCTCTATTTATTACCCAAAATGATATTTCTAAAACCCAAATCTGACCATGTCCCTGCTCAAGAAATTTCAATGGTTCCCTGTTCCTTCTAGAATAAAATATGAATTCCTCTAAGTTTGCCATTTAAAGCTTGTCACACTATAGGGTCTCTCCAGAATGACTATATATTATTTACCCTTAGCATTCTACATTCCAACCAAACTGGCCCACTTGTCCTTCCCTATACACAATATTCCATCTTCTGTCCATATGCATTGGCCCGAGTTCAACTCTTTACTGACTTTGTGACCCTGGGCATTACTTAACTTTTCAGCCTCAGTTTCCTCATCCGCAAAATGAGGATAATAATAGCACCTACCTTCCAGGGTTGTTGTGATGATTAAACAAGATAACATTTGTAAAGCACTTTGCAAACCTTAAAGTATTGTAGAAGGCTGGCCTGGGCTGGACCCTATGCCTGTTGGAATATGCTTTCTCTTTTTACCTCTGCCTCCTGGCACGTCCACTTTTCTTCAAGACTCAAGTACTACCTCCTACAAAAAAGGCTTTCCCAATTTCCCCATCCCCCCAAAAAATAACTTTGCATTTAGCTTTACTCCTCTCAGTACATATTGTTTTCCCATATAGATTACAAGCACCTTGAGAGCAGGGGCTTTTCATTTTTGTCTTTTTCTACCTGGTACAGAGCAGGCATTTAATAACTATTCATTGAATTTAATTACTAGCTGTATGGCTATGAAAAAGTTGCTTAACTACTCCAAGTCTCACACAACTTTCTAAGACTATGAGTCATAGATGGTGTGCATCTTTTAAATTCTGGGAGTTTGCTCCTTGAGACAGTCATGGTTACTGATGCTTTAACATAAAATGTTCCATTTTATCTAAACTGGGCTTCACTTTTCTGAACTTCATTTCCTCTTCCTTAAAAAGATAATGCTGTACTAGATTATCACCAAGGTCCTTTCCCATGCTAAAATTCTATGTTCTTTCCTCTATTCACTGCCCTTGGAACATATCTGGCTTTTCCCCACCCTCCCCCTTTTACTTGTCAGCTTGGAATGCCCTTGTGTTCCTCTTTGCCTACTGAAATCTCATCCATCATTCGGAGAATCACAATGTCTCAGAGCTGGAAGGCATTTCATCTTAGAGGTCATCTAGCCCAAACTGTAACTGAATAAGATATTCTCTTTCTACTTAAAAGGAAATTGAGGCACTGAGAAGTTGATACTCAAGCTCAAATCGCATCTGTTCAGTGAAGCCCTTATAATCTAATGCCTCTTTTTCTAGTAAATGTCTTTGTCTCCAACTAGTCTATAATTTCCTTGAAGGAGCAGAGAGTTTATGTACTTTTTTGTATCCCCTAAACCACCTAGCATATCCCCTCATAAGTGCTCAATAAATATTTGATTGATCTGATTTAGTGAAAGTTCCTATTTGACTCACATACCACACCACCCACCCCCAGGTAGCCATGATGCC